ATTCTAGACGATCCTCTTCATCCGTTGCATTCCGATCTATCATCTTGCTGTTTCCATTCATCCACACGCTCCTCTCGTTTTAACATTTATAAGAATTCCTCTGTACCCTACCTACCGACCAAAAAGAAACAGGTCGCAAATGAATTACGTCAGAATTTTTGTACATGAAACAAACTTCAGCGACATATCTTACTTTGCATGCAATATGAAACTGTATATTTTATTTCGCGTAACTACCGGTGTACATTTTTAACTGAAACTTAAGTATATACACTTATACAATTTATACAAATACACTGGAACCAGCTTCTGCCGTTTTAGCACCCCTGAGTTTTTCGAAACCACCGGCCATTCACACGCGACACGTCATTCAATGACGTTTTCTGGGGGAGGGAGAGGATACAAACTTACCACATTGGGTTGTCGCGTCAACGGTGATCCCGCGTGGGAACGGCACAATCGGCTCCATGGAATCCCATCGAATGGAATGAAGAAAGCGGCACAAATAAGAAGAACCAATCCAACCAGGCTATACGGAACAACGGGTTGAATCAGAGCGGATTCAGTGGAATTCGGACTGAGCAGGGCGTTCAGTGGATTGTTCACCTCGTCACTGTCTACCGCATCCGCGAGCTGCACTGTTGAATTAGTTGTGTTCAATGTTTTTGTTTCATTCTCAATGTATGGTCGAATAGTGAACGGGGCCACAAGAAGAGGAGCAACTGCAGCACCTAAACCGTAACCAGCATGCATCAAACTGAACGGACCAGCCGCAAGAGAACCCCAGACGGAGGCTAAGAGGGGATTTCCACCTGAAGTGATTGGAGTACGGGTGTTCATGTTATATAATAATGTCATGAAAGGAGGAAGCTAGAATGCGACTTAGACGGATGGACAGAACAAAAACTGAGGGAGAAAAGATCTAGGGAAGAACAGTTGTTATTGTTCAGTCTAACGGTATAACATGGAAATCAAATGCCCATATTAACCAGTTGGTGCATTTAATGAATGCATATCAGTTAGCAAATGACGTGAATATTGATAGCACTTGCGAGCTAACGGTCAAATGAACAATAGAAACAAAGATAAGTCAGAACTATTCCTGATATCCGTTATATCTCAAATTAGTTTTTTCTCCCATAACGTTTGATCATCAAAAGATACATGCACACAATCCACAAGAAGGGATTGAGCATTTTACAACTGATAGGTTTAATTTCCTTTTTTCTCAGTATTGTAACAAAGCACTCATAAAATCTACAACGTGGTAGTTCAATTCACATTTATCTGTCTCAGATAGTCCCCATCATCACAAGGATCTATTTACTTGGTAGGAAAAAAAGAAAAATTAAAACTTGTAAAACGTGATAAACGATCACCACCACCACCACCAAAGTGTTGAGTGGCGGTAGCAGAACTGGATCCCGTGAACCCTGCAAATAGTTCACTTCGGTGAATAAGTAATGTGATTTGATCCAAGCTGTTTAGTTTTTCATGATAACGACCCTATTATTTTACGGTCCTCTAGTCTGAATTGTACTTAAGGAAGACATGCTTCATCGACCATGCCATGTTTGAGTTATTCAGTGACAGACAGAAGATCCAGACCTGGAAAGTTCATAGCAAATCCTTGATATACAATAGAGCAAAGAAGGAACACTATCAGTTCATCGCGGGGTCCCATTCCGATAATCAATCATTCGAACCAACAGCAATATTCCCCGTTTGTAATCAGTAAACAACTGCAAAGAATATTGAGTTTTATTTTTAGGAATATTCATGTAAGGATCTTTCTTTGAACCCCACATTATTTTTGTCATTTACGTCACCGCTGACTTGCTCGGCTTTGACAGGTTACCTCACGTTGCTTTCCCCCGCGTGTCGGTGTTTTCACTTGATAAACACTGTGCACTCAGTATTTGCCTTTTGACACCGTCCACTTGTCCTCACACAAACTGTTTTTAGATACATTTTTATTCCAAAGTTGATTCGGTTGATCCCACTCAACAGTTTGTTTGTCTTCATCACCAATTCTTTTTTCAGATCCCCTCCCCCCTGTTTGCTGCTTCACCCTCCCCCCGGGATGCTTCATCATACAGCTGAATTGGGAACCGTTCTGTGTTCATTACTTCTCTTGTTGTCCATCTATGAGTATAGTACCGCGAAGTGTTCATCATGGACAGTATGGGCTCAGAGAAATGCGAAATGTCATGTGTGGTGTGCGTTTAAAACGTGTTCGATCGAGTCCCGAGCATGTGCCAAAACCCTTCTTTCTGTGTGTTAATGTTTGTTTAATTTCTATTAGAACCAATGGCAATGAGCTGTGGTCCACTGCATTGTTCATACACCAACCCCGCNAGTCGCTCTCTCATAGTTCATCTGCTCCTTGTTCTCTGCTGACGTCAGTTGATTATCCCCACCAAGCGCTCCGAAGTTCTGCATATCCGGTTTGGGGCCCAAACACTTCCTTGCTGGAATGGTTAGTGTAACCCGTGTTGCTTCACTAATGAGGTTTGTGAGTCCTGTATCACTGTGTAATTCAGTCTTAAGTATTGAGGGCAGAGTGCCTGTGTAAGCTCCATCATCACTGGGTCGAAGGTCCGATCACAAGTGTTCGTTCCTCCATAGCCCCTTCGGGTGCTCATCCAGGTGCCGTTTGAAGGCAGCGTGTCTCCTCTTCCACCACAATCGCTGGAAGGGAATTCCAGAGTGTTGTTGAACTCCGCAAGAGTCGGTAGACTAACGGAAGACCAACTGATTGAAGTTTCCGCAACGTGAGAGAGTGCCCCGCGTGAGGTCCTCTATCCGTAAAGGGAAGTACTGTTGCAGCTCCGGGCCCTCTCAGGATCTTCCTCAGGCAGATGATATCTCCTTTGAGGCGCTGATACGCAACTGGGAACAGACCAGTAGCCAGCAGACAACCTTTTTAGCGGGTCCCGCGTAGTCCAACCAAGAGTCTAGTAGCAGCACGTTGTACATGCTCCAACTTAGCCAGTTCGCCGGCCGTGCAGGGGTATATCANCCATACTCAAGTCTTGGTCTGACATGGGAAGCGTACAGCAGTCTGAAAGCGTCCATCGTGAGCTGGTTGAAAGACAGCCAAATAAGCCCCAGAATGTTCCATGCGCTAGCACAGAGCCGATCGGTGTTTTCTCGGGTGCTTAGTGATGACGTAACCATAACTCCCAGGTCTCTTTCGTACGATGTTCTGGGCAATGTGGTTCCCTGGAAGTTATAGACTACTTCTGAGTAAGCACGCCCCAAGTGAAGGTGAGCGCATATTGCCGTATTGACTGGAAGAACCCAGGTGTTCGCCCATTGAGCCAGGTTGTTCAAATCAGCTTAAGGAGAACTTCGAGCATTCGGATCCTTGATTGTACGTCAGACTTTTGATGTCATCCGCATAAATGAGGGATGGGTTGCGCAGCTGCCCGAGCAGGTC